AGGCAGCTAGTCATCACCACCCTCCGCCAAATCTTGGGCTACTCTTTTACCAACGCATAGTGGGATTGACCATCACATTATAACCCCCCCCCCCCACGGCTGAAAGGGCGAGCATGTTTGGTGGGACGGGGTTTCGAACCCGCGACTCGAGCTCCTTAACCACCCAGCCATGTCGGGCCGAAAAAGAACGGCCATATTTGTTTTGCAAAAAGTATAAGAAAATATTCATGATCACTGAATAAGCTGTTTACAACATCCTATGTTTCTCTTTTGTGGCCAATAAGAATATTGTGGTAATCGTGATGAATATTAAAATGGCATAAGACCGATTAAAAGAATCCGGCGACTGACAAATCAGTCTTTCCTTCGAAACTTCAACTTTACTCGCAAAGAATGAAATTCTAAATTCGTGTATCTGTTTTGTGGTGTGTTATGCAAATAGTGTTTGCCTATTGAATATAATTAACGGATATTTTCCTTTATTTTTGTTTACGTTGTTATTCAACTGCTCAAAAATGTTTGATCTGCAAAATCTGTGAAAGTCAAGGAAGACATTGATTTTAGCCCCTTAATTACATAAATATTTAGTCTTGTAGTTATATGATTTGATGATTCCTATACAAAAAAAATGAAAAAAAATCCACCAAAAGAGAGTCTGACAGAAAGTTACGAAGTGAACAAAAAAAAAAAAGCAATACGCTGAAACCGGGTTACGGTTGTTTAACAGCACGGAAAAGTACATGTCCGTCTTGTACGTAATGTGGATTTAAACCTAACAACTTCATTCAAGCTCAAAGTTGTGGACTTAAATATACTGCTAGCTGTACTGAATCTGCCTTCAACAAATCTAACATACCCACGCGTTTACGTTTTATAACGATCCGATTTCCCCAAATAACTATCTTTTCACCTTATAGCGGATAAATGAAGCTATTTCCATTACGGATCTTAAACTTTCTATCAATAAAATAAAAAATGTAAATGCGCTCCCCAAGATATACGACTTTTCCCTCAAATTAAACTTCCTAAACCTAGCAGCGCACCACCAGAGGGGCTATACTGTAAATCGCTAGTCTTAAAACAGTAACTTTCAAAACAAAAACATCGATAGGTTGGGGGGGGGGGAGTCCGCGAAAATATTTAGGTTACTAAAGTTTGTGAATCTAGGTTAAAGGGGGTCCTTGGGTTACTAAAGTTTGAGGATCTAGGTTAAAATGGGGCCTTGGGTTACTAAAGTTTGAGAATCTAGGTTAAAAGGGGTCCTTGGGTTACTAAAGTTTGAGGATCTAGGTTAAAAGGGGTCCTTGGGTTACTAAAGTTTGAGGATCTAGGTTAAAAGGGGTCCTTGGGTTACTAAAGTTTGAGAATCTAGGTTAAAAGGGGTCCTTGGGTTACTAAAGTTTGTAAATCGCTGCTCTACATGAAAGTACTTGAGAACATACTTATCTTCATACTGAGAAAGGTAAATGTAAATACATCACTTCACTCCCTAATGGGAAGCAGTAATGTTATTGATTTCCTGTTAATTTTATGTTTTAGGAATAATCAATATAAATATTTTAGTTTGGATGGTAGATTTGCGTGTACGTAAGTTTCAAATAAGACAGCAATGAGAAACTTAGATTTGGGCCAACACCTGCAATATTGCATGTGCAGACTATTCACCAACCTCAACGAGTTGCATGAAATGATTTTTCAAGTTAAATACACACGTTGTAAACTTAGATAATAACAGTAATTTTTGATACATGCTGTAAATCTATAAAGTGTAATGTTTCTGTCCCCCACCCACCAAACTGACTTTTTCTTTCTTCAATACTTATTGAATTTTTCAGTTGCACGTAGATTTAGCTTTTGACGGTCTATGCAAAAGTTTTACCGTCAGTAAAACGGTTACAAAGCTGTTTTTAGTGCAGTTACTATTTGTGTCAGTAAAAATGATTCCACGAACCCCATAATCTTTTGCAAGCAGTCTGCCTCGCAAATTTAATAAAGGTTCGGCCTTTTTTCTGTTACAATCTCGTTGTGTTTTGGTTTGATACCCCTAAATTTGTTTGAGACTTACGATGACTGACAGTGAGAAGTCACTTCCTCTTTCAGTATTTTGCCTCTTTAAGATAAAGCTGAAGATAACTTAAGAGCGAACCATTCAATGATGAAATACAGAATATGTTGCTATTAAAGAAAGATTTGGACTTCTGAGTCAATGGTTGCTCTGTCACTTAGAATATTTTCGAACGATTGATAAATAAAACTCCCTCACTTTACTTTTAGAGTGGACATTAATAAACAGAATACTGCTAAGCGAGTTTGGTGACATTTGATAGCTCTAGCGTTTAACAGGTTCACCTACATAATGGGCTATCTGTTCTCTGTCCACTGTAGGGAATCAAACCCATGATTTTAATATTGTAAGTCCGTAAGCATACCACAGACCCACCAAGAGACTGCCTGGTCAAAACGTGTTGATTATCTTAATTTCGAAACATCAGATATGATTTTAAAAGAGGATACTGACACTTCTATAAGTTCTCCTCATTGAGAACCAATGTATCATATATTCAACTATACATAATCTTTAACTGGTGGGATATAATTAGTTCATCAGATCATTCTAACCTGTGTTGTAAGATACTCAAATCGTTGCCCTGCATAGCCTGCGCTCTAAAATTTCACGTGTCCAGCTATTCATTCCATTTTATCTTTTATCATTAAAATTTATTCAAGTTTAATTGGGAAGATCAGTATGATTCTA